TTTTAAGAGACCGCGTTGAAAATATTTACTTGCTCTCAAATTTCGTCTTTTGAAAAAATTACTAGTGTAAAAAAAAAAAAAATTGCTGAAAATGAGAGTTGAAGGAGGTATTTTCAGTTAAAAGATGTGATTTATTCATTTGGAAGAGATGTAAAGGGGTGTGCCCAGCCAGAGGGAGACTACTCATTAGTTTTCTCTCTACTGTGTTATCTCGTGTGGATGTGAAGTTAGAGTTGAAGTAGCATTGTATTTCTGCCTAAAACTGTTGGGTACTGCTGTGTTTCGTTCTTCTTTGTTTTGAACTTCAATTTCAATCAACAAGCAGCTTGAAATTGACAGGACGCAAAGCCATCCATCCACCCATGCGCAACTTCATTGAATATCTTACAAATTTTAATTTTTTAATAATATTCGGATCCGCATGGGTAGAAATAGTATTAATTTATGAGGTGAATACCGGGAGTGAAAAAAAAAACCCGGATATTTGGCCGGGGCAAATGTCCGAGACAGTCTTTAGTAACAGTTGTTCTCTAGTCACATGAATACATTAAGAAAAGGGAAAGTATTTAGATTCTGTGAGTTTTAATTCTGCGAAGTTATTCTCTTTTTTAGGTCAAAACTTCTCTAAAATGTTTGAGATTGTGTTTGAGGATCCAGAAACTCAGCAGAAGCAGTACGCCTACCAGAACAGCTGGGGCCTTACCACAAGAACAATAGGTGTCCTAGCCATGGTGCATGGAGATAACACCGGCTTAGTGCTGCCACCTAGGGTAGCAACATTACAGGTGAGTCTATTATCATGGAAAAGGTTGAGGTGGGAAGATTTAACCCTTTTAATCTTTGACAGTTTATAGAAATTGTGTCTGATTTCCATTAGCAAAGCTTTGTCCGATTTCCAAACTTTTCAATAATTTTGTTTGAAAAAATGTTAGGCTGTCCTGATACTGATAGGATTGAAAATCATTTTTTATAATTGTATCTGCATTTGGTTTAAAGACAAACATTTATTTACAATAGCACTTATTTTTGTAATGCTGAAAATGCACAATAGTCAATTTTTGTAACATTGAAAATGTTCAGTTGTCTACCTTTTGTAAATATTTCAATTGCATAATCGTCTATTTTTAAACATTCAATACATTTAATATGCTCATTTTTTAAGCAAGATTAGAACCATGAAACTTTCACATTTAGAGCTCAGTATATTTTGAATATAGTTATAAGTTATAGTTTAGAGCTAATTTGTTTTTTCTTCTGCCTTCAGATTGTAATTGTTCCTTGTGGCATAACTGCAGCTATGTCAGAAGCAGATGCCAATCAATTGTATGACAAATGCACAGATTTAGCATCTACTTTTACAGCAGCTGGAATACGCAGCAAGGCAGATGTCAGAGACAATTACTCTCCAGGATGGAAGTTTAATCACTGGGAGTTGAAGGTAGGGTTTAAGTTCAAATAAACTGACCACATCACTGTCACAATAGTTGCTTCGACCACACCACTGTCACAATAGTTGCTAAGACAACACCAATATCCAATAGTTACTCAGACAACACCACTTAGAATTGCTCTAACTCTAAGGTAAATTATTAACTCTTCACTTTTAGTGTTAACTGTTTGAAATTGTAAGGCTGAACCTGCTGACTTGAAATGCATAATATTATTTGAAATTAAAATTTGATACTGAAGAAAAGTTCTCAGGACTAATTACCTTTGATTTATAAAATGTATAATTTGCAGGGCGTCCCAATAAGAATTGAACTTGGGCCCCGTGATCTTAAGGAGAACCAAGTGGTGGCCGTAAGACGTGATACAGGAGAGAAGATCACCATATCAATGACAGTTGTGGTTGACTCACTGAAGAACTTGATGGAAGTCATACAAGAGGGCCTCTACAAGAAGTATGAAACCATTCACTTATTCAACTTATTAACACTATTTTCTGGTTTTGTTTTAACCGTGAAATGGGTGGTAAATAAATAAGTCATAGGTGGCCAACCCTAAAGGCTAAATAAATAAGTCATAGGTGGCCAACCCTAAAGGCTTCACAGGCCACTGTGGTGACCAGTAAACCTTTTGAAGGCCGCATGTCTTTGACTTAATCTGTTCAGGGTTGTCTTTTCTTCAAGCATATAAAATCAAAATAATCGTGATTTAAAAAAAAATCTTTTTATCACTTAACTTTTTAAAATCGATTTCATTGTAAATTGAATAAAGAACTAAGTATATTTGTGATAAATAAGCCTTTCGCAGGCCGTAATATTTAATATGGCAGGCAACATGCGACCCGAAGGTTGGCCTCCGCTGAAATAAGTTCAAGTTTTAGAGAAGCAATAGAACTATTAGAACTAAAACCTTGAAGTTCTACATTTAAATGGTCACGATCAGTCACTTCTTGTCCATTTTTACCGGGGAGGCAACCACAAGGTGTGAGGCCTGTTGGTTCATGTTGTGGACTTTTAAGGTTGTCCTTGACACTTTCGATCCATCAACGGCATGGTCCTTCTCATTCTAGCCCTGACACCAGAGTGTCTGCTATCATAGGCTTGTAAAGAAGGTTGTTTGTCAGAAATTCTGACCTTGTGGCCAAATCAAACAATTTTCTGTAGGCCCATCTACTTTCTGATTGGAGTGACACCAACCTCTAGCTCCCATAAAACATTTCATCTCGCAAGTGAAGAGTTTTCTCTCAAGCCTTTCATTTCACTATCTGCTCACTATTTTATTATCTTTGGTCAGTCACTATGTATTGTTATTTATAAATTTATATTTTGTATAATTTGTATATGAAGATAAATTATAATGGCTGCAAACAATGAGATGAATGTGTTGCTGATGGAAGTTACTGAGCTGTAACTAACACAAGATAAGATAATTTTATTGATCCAAACAAATGGAATGAACAATTTAAAACAAGACATCTACATTAAATTATTTCACTACCATGGTGGAAAAAAAAAAACAGCCGTTCAGCTAACTCCCTTAGTCATAGCAGGGACTTATTATTTCTTATTTAGATTTGTGACTTCTGGGGGGAGCAGGCTGGTAAATTCGTACAGAAATCTTTCAGTCCTCACCCTGAGAGAAAGAATTCATCCTGAATGGGCCGATCCTAAGTACCGGTACCCTGTGATGAACAGGGTGGAATGTATCATCCAAAATGTGTTTAGTTTTACAAAAACATCTTTCTTCAAATAGTGAAGGATGCTTAGTTTGTGTTACGTTCCTAGCTTTCTTGATTGGTCGGTTTATGTGGTGTTTAATATCAGACGTTTAATTCCCACACCAGCAGGTAATACTGAAATTAAGGAGGCTTCCAATAGTTGCACTGAAGAATAAGTTAATGACTTATTTGTTTACGCCGAAATTGTACAGTTTTTTGAGGTAGAACAGTCTTTGGTTGAATTTCTTATACAGCATTTGGCCGTGCTCATGCCATGTTAGCTTATTATTAATGGTGACACCTTAGTACTTGTATGCCTCCACTTTCTCTACACTTTGATTTTTTATGTTGAGATCTGTGATCTGGTGATTCCCCCTCCTGAAATCAACAACCATTTCTTTTGTTTTTGAGACATTCAACTGGAGAAAATTTTCATCGCACCAATTGATAAGGCCTGTAACTTGTAACTAAGTTGTAAAAGCCTTCTCCTTCAGATGGTGGTATCATCAGCAAATTTTATGATTGGAACGGTGTTACTTGAGCTCTGAATATCATTGGTTTATGTTGTATACAGGACAGTGGAGAGATCACAACCTTGTGTCGCCCCGGTGCTTATTTCTCTGGTTAGAGATAATTGGTAATTAACCTTCACATATTGTTGGCGATTTGTTAAAAAGTTCAGTATCCAAGCTTGAATATTTGGATTTACACCTAACGAGGAAAGTTGCTTTATCATAAGGTGTGGTTGGATAGTGTTAAATGCTGACAAGTCTAGGAAAAGCAATCTAGCATATTCATATTTTTTAGGGCTTTCAAGGTGATATAAAATCCTTCCAACAATATTAAGATCGCATCCTCCGTGCTTTTGGCAAGTTGGTAAGCAAATGGGGGGGTGGGTTTCAAGTTTTTGCTATTCTTCATTCAAAATTTGTCTCAAAATAAGTTTCTCAAAACATTTCATTACAATAGAGGTAAGTGCGACGGGGCGTAAGTCATTGTTGCAAGTTACCTTACTTTTCTTTGGAATTGGTATGATTTCTGAAGTTTTCCAAATTTTTGGTATACTGTGAGTTACCGGTACATAAGATTTATTAAATATGTAACATGACTTTTGTCACAGAGCAAAGAAAGAGCTGGATGAGAACTTGACAGTCTGCCATCAGTGGTCTCAATTCTGTGACAGCTTGGATCAGAAGAAACTTATTCAAGCACCATTCTGTGGGGAGATTTTTTGTGAAGACAAAATTAAGAAAGACAGTGCAAGGTAATCAAATAATCAAGGATGACTGGGTAAAAAGAAAATATCAAGTACTGGTAGAGAAAGCTTTTGTTAAAGAAGACAATACAAAGTAAATTCAAGTCACAGGCAAAGATTTTAACTGTACCATAAGTAAATTGAATACTAGGGCAGCTTGTGAAGATAAGTAAAATTTGTCAATTAAAATTGATCGAGAATTGAATATATAAATTTGTACAACAATTTGCTTTAAAAATATTCCTTTGCTGTGAAAATTTAAAAACTACAAACTTTTAGTTGTTTGTGTCTCCAGCTAAACTTTTCAATTTGTACAAATACATGAAATCTGAATAGCATACAAAGTTTAGAGTCCAATGACTTTTAAGGCCTTACATATTAAACTTAGATATCTATTATCTATTTTAAAAATGATTTGATAGAAAAAAATTTAAATCAATTAAGTTCTAGATCAGTAGTTCTCAAACATGTTCTTTTTTGATATCCCAGAAGGGTTAGAAGATTAAGACGATGTATAAAGATCTGATTGGTCTAACCAATTGCGTCTAATTGAGAATTTAGGTGTAACTAGCCCTAATGTAGACTTATTTTATTTTAAAATTTCATCTTTTCTTTGCAATTGTCATCAGTTTTTATGACGGATGATATAAATTTTAAAGTCAGCAACTTATGGTCGAGATGGAGTTATTTCTCTTTTCTTGGTACTGGTACTGAAGTTAATTTTTTAATGGGCACCACAACTACATTATGAAGGTTAAGGAAAAACATATCCTAAACATGATTCCCCAGTGTCCCCTATAATTTTCCTTGGAAAACCCTTGATCTGGATGTTTACTTTGACAGAAAGTTTACACTCTAATCAAATATCAATCTTAATTTCCCATTACAGAGATGTGATTGTTGAGGAAGGTGCTCCAGCTATGGGTGCTAAAGGCTTGTGTATTCCTTTTCAACAACCCCAAGAGTTGAAACCTGGTACCAAATGCATCATGCCAGGCTGCACAAGTCCAGCTAAACATTACACCATGTTTGGTCGTAGTTACTAGTTAGCCCAATGTTATCTCAACATTACAAAGTCAACAGTGTCCACATATAGGTCAATTTTTAGCAATGAACTACATAATGGGAAATTGCAAGATCACTTGTTCAATTAATGAATATATTTGACTGAAGCGTAAAAACTATTGGCTACTATTTGATTTATCAGTAGTTTAAAAGCTCATGTTGAAAGTGTAATTTAATTTAATCCTTTATGTTAAGTGTCATGAATTGATAATAAAGTTTAAACAAAATTAAATCTGTGACTTCAGTATAAAATGATTTATTATGTGCAAGTTTCTCTGTCCATTTCTTTTAACATAATTTCTTCTCTGTGTTATGACGGTTGATTATCCACCTGGTTACTACGTTCAGCTTGCAGTTCTACTATGACCTGAAAGACAAATATAACCTTAGAGTTAGATATTTTTAGCACAAATTTAATGACAATGTTATTATTATTATTAGCACTCATTTAACCCTATAAATGTCAAGATCATCTCCTCTGTAGCGACAAGCCCTTCTAGCATTTAATAAGCTTATCTAAAACAACTAAATACCATACAAAAATATGAGTTAAGGGATCCTTACATTGACATGTAGTCTATACATTTTCTAAAATTGGATAAGGCAAAATGGTATGAAAAAGAATTATTTAATTATGTTAGTTAATAATGACCTTGAGCTTCACACTGAGTAATTTGTAATACTCAACATCAGCATTCAGCCACTCAGTGGCGTAGCAACACGTGTCGCTCGAAGAGGACTTTGAGTTTGCCTGAATTAAGTTTTGACCATGAGGAGTGCTAAGGCATACTTTTTTTGTTGTGTTAGTGTAGCCCTATATTAAAGAAGCTGGTACATTAGCCTGCATTGAGCTTCTTATTTCATGTCATCAAAAGAAAATATATCTCAAATACCATCCTATGATTGAACTCCTCCTAGTTCATGGATAGTTTTTTCTACTTTGCTCCTTTTTTCCCTCAAAATATTTTTAGTTACTTTAACTGGCTAGGTCAGAATATTTAGGCTTTGAAGAATTAAGCCAACATTTCGGAGTTCCAGTATCTCATAATATGTGTTAAAGGGATGGTATAATTGAAAATAAAATAATCCGTTCTTTCCGTTTGACTTGGTCGTAAATGCCAACCACCCATATATAGAGAAAAGGTGCCACCAGGGGCAGACCCCCCTGCCCCTCCTACTAGTCCTAAACCACTTAACCCACCCCAGTCTCTAACATTTTTGTTCAATCATTACTTTAAGCTTTTTAGATAATAAAAGAAGCACCCTTTCAGAAATTGTCAATTTATTATTTTAAAATGAACTTGTTTTGAAGAATATAATTTTGGTAAATTTTTGTTATTCACCTCACCAATCACTAACTTCAATTTTCTGTAATACAAAATGCAATGGGGGAAATACAGAACTTTTTACTGAAGTTGTTTAATCCAATTTTTTAAATTATTTAATACTGTACACTAGAACATACACGAACATAACATGTATTTGAATCTCTTTAGAATAGGCCTTGGGATTCAATCTTTGTCTTTTCTCTTCATTTTCCCCCCTTTCATAAAAACATGTCTGTGTCACTAAATAATAAATATATGACTGAGCTTAGGTCAAAAATGGTCAATATGTAACTCATGTCACCACCACCGCTAGTGCTAACTTATTGTTTGTCCTTAGCACAAGAAGATGACCTAGGATTAGAAGTAGCCTTTATTTGAACTGTATTTTGTTTAAAGTGAGAGTTACTCAATTTGTCACCCTCACTCTCTCGTCCTTGACGATTTGATCCAATGTCAAGGCTTATTCAAGACAACTGGAAATAGACCAGGATGCAGTAGATGACTAGTAGTGTGTCTTGAGTGTTTTAATGTGCTCTTTATGCATTCTACATTGAAAGAATTTTCTGAATTTTTCATCGTGTCGACACAAGGTATTAGGACCGGTGAAGCAAAAACACATAGATTGCCACTGAATGGATAATGAAAAAATCCACAGATAAAAAGAGCAACAGGATACAGGGGCACCCCGGGAACAGCGGAATGACCTAGACTTTGCAGATGACATTGCAATTCTGACCCACAGCCAGCAAAAGATGCAGGAAAAGACAAAATATGCAGGCCGGCCTTAGGCCAATGCAACCTATGCGGCCGCAGAGGGCCCCGCACTTTATTTTCGAATACAAAATCTTAATTTTCACTTATTATCCTCATCCCTACCCAGACTGGGCCCCGCGCAATCTGTTTCGCATAGGGCCCTGCAATTGTTAGGGCCGGCCCTGAAAAGATGTATTTACAATTTCAGCACAGCTTGAACTCAATATAAATAAAAGCAAGACAAAGATCATGAAGGTAAACTCAGCCAACCAAGAGCATATCTCTGCAGAAAATGCAGATGAAGAAGTGGAGGCCTTCACATACTTAGGCAGAAACATTGACATAAATGGTGGATCCGAAGCAGATGTCAGGGCTAGAATGCTAGGTCAGCATTTGTGCTATTAAAGAAAATATGGGAGTCTGCAAAACAAATTCATAATTTTCAACACAAATGTAAAAACAGTTTTACTCTACAAAGCCGAAACTTGGAGAACAACAGTGAGCATCAAGCAGAATGAACAGACCTTCACAAACATTTGCCGTAGAAAGATTCTGAACATCAAATGGCCGAACACCATCACCAACAAGGACTTACTGGAAAGGACAAACCAGGAACTTAATGCTGAAGACATAGCTAAAGATAGAAGTGGATGGGGCACACTCTTCATAAACCCCCGGATAACATCACCGGACAATCCCTAACTTGCAAATGGCATCCACAGGACAAAAAAAGAGAGAAAAGCCTAATAAAAGATGAAGACGCTAGCTAGAGGTAGACACGCTTAGCATGGGATACACCTGGAAGCAACTAACTAGAAAGGATAGCACAGGACCGAGATGAATGGAAAATTCTTGTAAACAGCCTATGCCCTAGCCTGGGTAAAAAGCATAAATAAGTAATGTCATACCGCCTACTGGACTTGGGTTTGATTTCAGAGTTTGCCTGCTTAGACTCTGTTAGATGAGTTGCCATCCAAAGTTAATAAGTCCCATCTACCCAGGGTGCTGGTGCTAACTAATACTCACACCAATCACATGGAATATCCTCTGAAATTATTGTTTTCATTTAATCCATTTAATAAATAAAGTATGTGTTGATTTTGCAATCTAGAGGGATCTTCTCCAGCATCAGACAAAACTAAGACCATCGGTGAACGCTCCTTCTACTTCACAACCCAAGCCCTGATGAAAGCATGTTTACACACACAGATAGAAACAGAAATAGAAAGCACACTCATTTATTTAAAGTGATTTCCTCTTTAGAGCAATGTACTTTAAATCATTTCGCATTTTTAATGACGATTTTGATAGCAGCCAATTTTATGGGTATTGACACCAAAGAGAGGGGCATAATGGCCGTTCAGACAGTTTTAGGGTTAATGACAATGTTATTATAACATGTATTTACTGCAGCCTTACTTCCTTTCCATCAATAACATGGTAGTCTTCTAAGATAGAATTCAGATATTTTTCTTTGCCACTCATAACTACAAATGCTATATTTCTGTTGAATCCAGTCTCATAGTTCTGAAACAAATGAAAACAAATCATAAACATATACTGGATGAGGTGAAACATTAAAATATCATAAAAATGAAATAATCTCAACATCCTCAACTAGTGGTTCAGTTGAAAATTCACCAATAAATAGAGAAATTAATAAAATTTTGAACTTAAATTACACCAATTAGGAGTATCGGTATACAAATAATTTTTAAATTTTCATTGGCATTTTCCCCCAGTCAAAATGAGTTTTTAAGTGCAAAACACGACATTTAATGTGATGAAGACTGAAGAATTTGAACATTTGTTTCATTTCTTCCGACATTTAAAGCTGATCTAGATCTAAGGTGGCTAATTACATGTAAAATGAGACAGCAATCTAATTAAATGTATTTATATACCTCAATGTGAGGTCTGGAATATGAAATTTTGGAATCGACATTAAAAAAATGTTTTGTAATTGAATAGTAAAATTTTTTTTCCTTGTAAGAACTTGTTCTACTACATAAATGGTGAACATTCTTTTTAAACGTTCTAGTGCATGCATTTGGAACTACACAAATGGGACATACTGTGAGGCCCTCCCTTGCCATTATTGATGTTTAACTTTAAGAAAGATATAATAATTTGAAATGATGGCTTACCATTGGAAGTCGAATCTCATGAACGGTTCCAAACTTGTTAAAATACTTTCGTAATTCACCTATGGAAAAAGTTATGAACTAAGCTATTTAATTTATTCTAAATTATTTTTACAAATTAAATGAAGATTAAGCTGCAAGGGAATAACATAATTTTATTTGTATTTACCAAAAGTCTTACTAGAGCCCGGGGTAAGGAGAGATAAAATCAAGTATGCTTTATCTTGTTTGAACACTGCAGTTGTAATTGTATTTATGGCTCATTCAGTACAAGAAGACAGCTCCTTTAATTTTAGAGTTGATGCATAATACTAATAATAACCATGTAAAGTAAAGAAAAACAAAAGCCAAAGAAATATGCATTCTTTGTGTTTGGGGGTGGACAGTGTTCAAATCATCCTTATCATCTTAGTGACTTTAGTCAGTTTAGATTAATGCCGGTATCACTACATATAATCCAGTTTCTGAATGGTTGTCTCTTTAATATTTAATTTAAAAGGCTGGTGCATTGGAGTTACAATTACTATAATATTTTAGACAAAATACAAGAAAAAAGTATCTATTGTAACACTGTACACATTTATTTTCTGGTTAACTAAAATTGAAATTGGCCATAATTCAAATGGCAGCAGAATGGAAATAAAATGCTTTTGTGGCGTAAAGCGCTGTTATGTTGTATCTGCACCATTAAAAAAAATTCATCTTCAATAAAGAAGGTTAAACAAATTAAATAGTTATGATTTTTTAAAATAGTAATATAAATATTATAAAACATAACTATTTACGAACAACTAAAAATAAATAAATGATTTGTATAAACACAACCAGGTTGAAGGACAAATAAATTTCTCAGCATTTCTTTATTTTTTTCCCTTCAAAAGTGTTAAATGATGCAAAACCAAAGTCAGGTATGTGCCCAATTGCACCACTTTATTATGAATTTATTTTTTTTTAAATTTAGGCGGAAGCTCGATGATAATGAGTCTATTTGCCACTGTTGCTCAAGAGCCTTTGCCGCTCTTGATTTCCGCCTCCTCCTTCCACTCCCCCCCCCCCCCCCCCCCCCCCCCNTGCCATATACTAATATACAGATGCAGCCAAGGTAAAACAAATTATTCCAAGTTCATTTTAGTGCATACTCCAATTTCAGGGACAGCACCATGGCATGTCAAAGAATGTTATTTCCAGGATTCATATTACATACATTATTGTTTTTAGGGGGGGGGGGGGTCAAACTCAAAAGTCCACCACGGCAAGGCAAGGGCTTGCCATGTCACTGTGCCCAGACCCATTAGTTAGTTACATTCTGAAATCAAAATTGTCTTGACTTCCCATTAGTTAGTTACATTCTGAAATTAAAATTGTCTTGACTTCACTTGAGTCCAATTACTATACTTATACTATATGACTATAACTATATAAAAAAAACTTGTATAACTTATAGGCTACTTAATACAAAACAGTACTCAGTACTATAACTATAACTTAAGTGTTAGTATAACTAATAACTTTAAACTATTACACTACAAAATGTCAAACTAACTTGTAATTATACCATACTTTTACAACATTCAGTCTCAGTCAGTGTCACCCACTCAAATAATATGATAATATAAATGATAAATATAATATTTATCCATTTTAATTGCAATATAATCATATATCATATATATATATAAAAGTGAAATTTTGTTTGTGGGTTTGTTCCACAAAGGCTTTTACATGGATTGATGGATCTTGACCAAACTTGGCACATATGACATATATCCATCATTATGCAGAAGGAACTCTTAAGGGTTAAGAACTTTTTATAACATTCCGTTTGGGGCCAGGGGCCCTGAATTTGTTTTTTTCCTTATACGAGCTATATAAAAATAATTAGAAACAAATACTCCTACATGAGTAGATGGATCTTGACCAAACTTAGTACACATATACTTTATTATCCATATTCAAATACCGAAGGGTCCTGAACTCATAATACCGGTATCCATTTCTCTGGGGCCGGGGGCCCAGTTCAATTTTCCTTATATAAGCTATATAAATATCAATAGACTTAGACTTTAGACTTAGAGACAACACTGTAGTTTCTATGTGAATTGATGAATATAGGCCTAGCGTTGCAGCAATACCCCTCTTTGGCTGTATTGATATATCAGTGCATTTAAAACTAATAATATCCAATCTAGAATTTTCCAGAAAGTTCCATAGTTTTAAAAAGCTATATCTGTGGCATTTTTAAGTAGATTTTAATTGGAAAAATTTAAATTTTAACTTTATTATTTATCTGTCTGATTTTATAGGGCCCCTATCTCAGGCATAACTATATCGGTACAGTTATTGAATTGGCCCCACACTGGGGCTCCTCTATTAACTTAAAAGAAAAAGGATTATAATTATGGCCATGGCATTTGTTGAAGATTTTTATCGTATTTGAAAAATAATTAGATAAGTAGTTTTTACACATGTTTCGAGCAGGCTATTAAATTTAATCTAGACTGTTCCATAAAATTCTAAATTGTTCCGAAGGGATATATCATAATATATAGTGGGATCTAAGGGAATATTGAAACGTTAGTTATATTTATTTCTATACTGCCCTGGAGTTTACTGTTCTCTCAGTAACTGTGAGTATTTTTTAAAAATTCGGGATAGAAACAAAGGGGTCGGGATCCCATCATAAACCTTTATCCCAACGGTATCAGGATCCCACCAGAATTGGGATCCTTACCTGTACCTTGAAATTGAATGGATCTACCGGGATCGGGATCACACCAGGAAACGGGACTGCGCTTAGATCGGTATCAGAATGTGATCGCGGTCCCAATGGGATCAGTGGTCTCACCAGGATGGGGCCCTAATGCAACCGCGGGCCACGCTGGGTATATCGGCTAGTATTAATTATATGACATGAGCCTAAAAATCCGACTTCTTACTTTTCAGGCTTGCCCAACTTATATTTCGCACCACCAAAATACTGCGTGGTCCCATGTTTCTGAAATGAGTGCTATCAATTTAAGAAAATAGTAGGTAGATCCAAATAGTACTCTCCTTTGTAATTCCAAAACCACAGTAACAGAGTTTCTGAATGAATACAAAGTGTTCAATGTCAAGTCTGTACAGCATGTATGTTCAGTGTTTGAGACACTGACAGTAAAAAATCAAAAGTAAAGAAATATGAACGGATTTACTAAATACCAGAAAAAAAACCAAGCTCAATTTATTTTATGAATCTTAAACCACAGTAAAATATTTTATATTGAAATGATCTTGGATAAATAATGAGATATTCAAAATATTTATAGCAGAAAATATTTAAAAAATCAAATAAAAGTAAAGTGTGTTAATAATAAAATAAGCATAATAAGGGGAGAGACTACAATCAGGTTAGGTAGAAAGTAATAAGTGAAACAAAGTATTAGGCTTAGGAACACCTGAAAAAGACGCAACACAACAACTTATATGTCGGCAAGAAGCCTTCGTCGGCGAACAAACAACAGTAAAAACAATATGAAAATAAAAATAAACAGTTAGCTGCAATGATGTAGGCCTATCCGAGGAGAGACGACTAGCAGTCCTCTCAGATAGCCTACTACATATTAATGTCTGCTTCAAATCCTCTGGGCACTTTAACCTGGGCACTTTCTACGTTTCAAATGTGTGTCAAATATTAGAATTGTTTGCGGTGTAAGTTGTAATTGTATGGTTTTTAAAAGTATTCAAGTCAATATATTCTGACCAAGACCAAGCGATGCTAAAATAAAAGGCTGGGCATAAGTTTAAGAGAAAAAGAAGATCTTTAAAAATTATTCATAATGGTTATGAATGAAAATGAATTCTTAGAAAATGGTGCCGCTTTGGGACAGCCCCCACCCACTTATTTTTTGTTGTCTTGATGTTTAACTAGTGGGTGTCAACCTAATCCAAAATTCCGTTCGAACATTTAAAAAATTCTGGAGTGGCTGCCCTTCCATAGTAATTTCGCGACACGTCAAGAAACAACATGGCCGCAAGCCAGAGTTACTCTTACTGTTGACAACAATTGACCATCTTTATGTTTTCTGCATTCAAATACCCTAACTTAGATCTTTTACTATCACGATACTCTTTATGTAAATTAAAAAAGTATGCTGTAAAACTTTAAAACAACTATGTCATGGATTGGGGGCAGCCTATCTTCCCTAACGGGACAGTTGTCTAACTTGACGAAAGATATTCTGACTGAAGGAACCGAGGAAGTCGGCGGTTAGTTTTATTTTTGTGGTGTATATTTGAAAATTTCAAAATTGAACTTGAATTTATAAATGCATTATTTGAATTTTCGGGGCTTAGGTCTACTAAATGGTAACTAACCAGGTAAACTAATAATATCAACTATGCATCGTCAACTTTTACATTAAAAGAGACAGTGTGAGTGTGTGTCAAGTTGTCTTACTAAACTTACTTAATTTAATTCTTACTCTTAATATTTTTAATACTCTTCCTTTTCTTATATTAATCCATGACTTAAGCCACTCGCCACTTAGTCTTGGTATCACCACTTAGTCTTAGTATCGTCATTGTCACATTGTGCATGACAAGCTGCAGATCTCAAGGTTGACTATCCATCTAATATGACTGTCAGACGACTATCTGTTATGTATGAGTATGGTCTCTAGAACTTCCTCTGACTAGTGCAACTTACACTACATGTTTAGTCCAATGCACTATAGCACTGAATACATCATGTCATCTCTAAGTTTATTCAATTAATCACATATTGAATTGTCCTGTAGAAAATCCAATAGATACACAAAAGAATTACTCCTTTAAGATACATCCCAGAGAACTCAGAAAAACACAACAAGCTTCCTGTGAATATAATCAAACTCTCTGACTATGACACAACAACAACCCATCTCTCTCCTCACACACCATATATATATACCCTCTTGCCCCATCAGCCCATCATCGACAATCTCATGCCTTGTTCACTCACGCTCACACAATTGTGGGTGAACATAATTTACTGTAACCCCATAGATAAAACAGTGATTCTCATACCCCTGACAGTGCAATACTAAATATTAAAATTGACCTTCTTTGATGTGATAAAAATAATTTGATTTTAAAGGCCTATTAAAACTAGTCTCTTCACTTTCCAGCAACTTTGGCTGTTTTTTTAGAGTCTAACTGACTTTTAAATTATAAATAAGAATAGGGCCAAATTTTATTTAAATTTTATTAGTTAAGCCTATAGGTGCCTAGATAGGGCCATCCATAATGAATGTCTTGCGTTTTTTTGGGGGTGGGGATTTTGTGAGGATGTATTATGAAGTTGTAACAATTTTGTGACAAATTTGTGATGACTGCCATTCTGAACTAGCAACAGTAATAATTAGCTTATTTGCTCTAGTAACAACTTCATTTAACCATCTACCTTAGTCTGCTGCCATGCGTGTGACATAGTTTTGTGACCCATGTTTGTCTGACTCATGTGTTGTCGCTTCGCTAAATATTACTACTACAGTGATATCTAGTGAGCAATTTAGGAAAACACAAAGCATTAGTATGCAGATAACCAAGAAACATTGTCGTGATATTTTTAGTCTTAATAGACCTAAAAAGAAATTTAACGGATTTTTTAGGTGGCAGTCGGCTCTTTAGAGGCTGTCACAATAATGATATATAATGCAGAATTTATGCATAAAAATAGGGAAATTCTGGTGGACCCACACACACACACACACACACACACACACATGCACATGCGCTGTTATATGTATCCTCAGTGTGTAAGTAATATATGGATGTTCCTCTTACGTTGACATGATGTGGCAGGGGGTATGAAAATATTATTTACATTTTTTTTTTTGCGTACGTTATATTATAGAGAATCCCATTGTCCAAAATGGCCTGGTATTTAAATTTAGCTACATTGACGGACGTGCATATTAAATGGATGTTCCATGAGTAGAATTGGCGCTCCTTTTTCAAGACTACGGTACATATTTTGTAAAAAAATGCATTCTCAACTGCTTGGCACAGCAGTGTTAGTTTTTGACATATTCTATAAAATCTGGTAAGCACCATTTGAAATTCATGTTTAGAAGTCACTAAGCAGCTGTTCAATTTTAACACGTCAGTCATGTTCCATCACTACTCTTCCTTTGTCCCAATACAGCTTGCAGTAGTTTTAGACTACAATATGTTAACGGTAAATAAAATCAGACTCATATGCTTAATGCAGGGGTAGGCAACCCACAGCCCACCGCATTAAATGTTCTAACCGTCCCGGGTGTATCACAAATGAACATATTTCTTCATTCAAATCGTGATTATTTAAATTTTTGGCATAAACACAAATTTCTTTTATATATATAAATCTTTCTTTTAGGTACAGTATGTGCCATTTCTATGTACCTGCCTTAATTTTAGACTGATTAAAAAAAATAGATTGAATAAGATATAAATTATAAAACAATTGTACTATTTATTAACTACTAAAATAAAAAGGATTTATATAAACAAAGCTTGGTAAAGGGAACCTAATTTTTCACAAGCATTACAGTTAAGTCTAGAGTGATGCAAAACTATATTCATGTATATGCAAAGATGCATCCCTGCATTTTGAATTTATAAAAAAATTCTGGAAAGGGGGCTCAGCCTCCTCCTCAAACCCCACCCCCACTTTTGTTTGGGTGACTTCGGTGGGCGTCCTCAATTTCTGCTCCCCCACCACATCTTCGTCTATCAAAGTGGCAGATGATGGGCACATTTTTATTTGTAATAGTGCACTGTAAATAAATAGATAAACGTCGGGCATCTACTTTTAGAAGTGAGCTTTATTTAGAAATACTATGCAAATAGTTCTTGTATACTTTACAATAATAATGTAGGGAAATTCTGTTAAACATCGGTCATCTACTTTTAGAAGTGAGCTTTATTTAGAAATACTAGGCAAATAGTTATTGTATACATTATAATAATAAAGTACTATTTTGAGTCTCTATTGTAATTTTTTAGAAACTCCCATCTCACTAGGCCTGCAGGAATAATGATTGTATCTGTGCCCACTAATCTTGGTGCCCAGAGCCTACACTCCCCACCACCACCATTATGAAGTGTCAACAAAAATATGTGAACTTTTTTTTTCCTGGAAAGATTAGACTTTCTATTTCATATATATTCTGTGGCATGCAATAGTTGAGATTCCTTTGTCTAACTTTGCCAAGTAACTTGCTAATAAAATTACTTTTTTGTTCAATATACTATTAATTAAACATACTACAGACCTGTTTACTCTTACGATTTTGGCGTACAATGTACGATTTTGAAGTGTATAGATTGTAAATACTGTATGTTTATTTTTTACTATAAATGTAACGTATTGAACGAATTTGTCATGATATTGTACGATTTTAAGAGTTTGAGGGTAAACTGTTCTGATACTAACAAAAATTAACATATCACTTTCTCCAATGAAGATAATACGTTTCATAAAAAATGCTTGTGGAAATGAATAAAAGATTTGTCGGGAGCCATGCCGTGACAACATTATATCCGAATTCTCAGCATAGCGAGATATGCTATAGTGTTCCATCGTATTTGGACAGTTTAAAAATGATGTGACCTTAACTACCCAGTACTGGATTAAAGAATATTTTGGGCTGTATCATTTGAATTAAAAATACAAAAGCCAAATTACCTCTATAATTACCTCACTTACTTGCAGCCTACATACTAGTGTGTTTTATATTAACAGTCAACTGAACTGCTCTCTTTTAAATACAAAAAAATTGTTTGCCTTAAAAAATTGCCCTTCTTGATGTTTGCTATAGTGTATGCAATTTTCTGTATGTGAATTAGTCATGAGAGTAGCTATGACTGGGATTGAATTTTCTGTGTGTGATTGTGGTGTGTGCTTCTGTCATGTGCAATATGACTGGTCACCCAATTATACCCTTTCAACTAATAAAGTCAGTATCATAAATAATATGCTTGGAAAATTTAAGTAAAATTTGAAACCCAGGTTTATATGTAATTGTAATCATTGGCCATAAGTTTAGAATTGTAATAAATAAAATAATACATTTAAAAACAACAATTGGTAAAAAGTGAAATAACTTCTAAAATAAGTTGGAGAACTCTGTGCATTTCATAAATTATATTAATCTTCAAGAGTTGTCTACCTTTA